AATATCTAAAAGAAACATAACAATATTGTTTTTATGTACTTTCACTTTTCACGTATAGTATAACTACTCTTTAAGATTAAGTACTGTGTATCTCAAAAACCAGAGCTAATAAAAATTTTTCATTGTTATTTTCGTTTTTATCACCCCAAAATTAGTGGAAATTGACTAATTTAGTGTAGGAAACATTCAAAAAATATTTTTTTGTTGTGTTGTGTTATTTTCGAATATTCTGACAAAAATGGATGCGGTCATAATTGATAGAGTTGAGTCAGAAAGTCAAGTGGTTTCTTTAAAATATCATAATCAATATCATAATAAAGGATACAAAGTCGTTATTTTTCAGGATATTCATACGTCAGCCTTCCACTTATCACTAGCCTGTACATACTGTTTTGGTTTATGGTTGGATATCCTGTGTTTAATATTCACAGCGTGTGTATCGTTCAGCTTTGTTTACATGTATTCATGTAAGTAGAATCCTACCAAATTCTTGTTTTTTTCTTCAATGAGTTCAAACACTTGATGATAAACTATAAACATTCATGTGACATAATCTGTTGGAAGGAGGAAAGGAAATGAACTTTTTCCGTTTTTCTTTCTTCTGATATATGAACATTTAAAATTTATGTGAGAATATAACTGTTTTATCCAGACATTTCCATATTGCGTTTTCCCCTATCATTTACCGACACCTATTCAAAACATCTTGGTTTCAATGTGTTAAGACAACGATAAAAATAAAATAAATACAACAATAAAACTCAATTGGCGCTCCGGGGCGACTTCATTGATTCCAGTGGCGCATTTGCTTTTTCAGCTGCAGGAAAACCCGGAAAAACCTGCAGCACCACATCNTGACGCTCCGGGGCGACTTCATTGATTCCAGTGGCGCATTTGCTTTTTCAGCTGCAGGAAAACCCGGAAAAACCTGCAGCACTACATCATCTGAAGATCTTGATCTTGGTTTCTGTATTACTTTTTACACCTTACTAGCGGAATTTTTGTTATATTCTTGATATCATAATTTTGGTTGTCCGTATATTGTTTGCTTTCTGTGATTCAAATGCTTACATTCGTATTGAACATGATGATCTGTCTCTGTCCCTTTGTTGCCCTGTCTGTAGCTCAATTCTTCGTTTCAAATCCGTATACTCAGATTTCCTCTCGAAAAACAGTGTACAATGCTGAAGCAGCTCTTCAGTTCTCTTCGCGAACGGTGCTCTCATCAAGGTTTTTTCGTAACTGTTCCTGGTATATTTTTCTAGTTCTTCNCATCTTTGGGCACCAAACCAAATCAATACATCATATGGGTATAACAAACCCCATGTCTTTCCATCAGTTCGTGTGACCAGCATCATTTTCACCTCAGGCTTTCTTTTCAACCTTTGCAGATACTGTCCTCACTCAACAGATGTTTTTCTCCACCTTGAAGTTCTAATGGTTTTCAGCCCTCTGTTTTATTCTCTTGGTGAATGCCATGATGCTCATTTTTTTTGGTCTCTGCTACTCTGATGAGTAAGTCATTTGCATAACTCCGTATTGTATGTCCATTATGGTCCAGGAGACAAAAATCCGTCTGAGGACACAATTTTGGTACTCGAGCCGCTATTACCCAAAAGGATTGAACAAAATACAGTTCGAATGCGAAAAGTCCTCCTTCTTTCAAGTATCGAATGACAAAAGATGTTGAGCTTGGACAAAATGTATGTGAACACAAGATCACCCTTAGTTATTTTCAATAAGACATGGCCTAACTCGTTGCCGTAAGGGGAAAATCAACCTTTCTTTTCGAATAGAAGAGGAATTTCCTTCTTTTTTTTGAAAACGAGACCAGTTATTCTTTTCAAGAAAGTTTTTGGGTTGATTTCGTGGCTAGCAACATTCGGTATTAATGAGAAACAAATTAAATAGAGGTGTATTATTTTTTTAGTTTATTTAAAGTTGTGATTATAATCGGTTAAGTAGGCTGAAACAAAAGTGAAAAAACTTGCAAACTATACATTGAAAAATTAAAGAAATGCTTATTTGCAAAGAGAAAACGAATAATTCTGACCTAAAATGAACATAAATTGATAATGGAATAAACAATGAGTCAAATTTCAATATGAAATGGAATAGATAGCCAACATTAGTAATTAGGACAAAAAACAATTAAATATAGGAAAAAGTTTTTCGATTGTGGGTAGCCGCAATCGCCTGGACTGTTACTGACAGGTGAGACTATTTATAGGTCTTTTGAGCGCCTTCACCTCTTCACACTCTCTCCTCTAGGTTTCCGGTTCAGTGCGACATTGACTGTTTTTCCTCTTGATTAGAGGTTTACATACGTTGTGTATTTTCAGACCATCTTGAATGAATGCTTCGTTGATCTACATATATGCAGCTCATTTGAACACTTGATATATGTTGATGAGTCCAAACATGCTCCTCTATTTCAGATTTGCTGTCTTTCCGTTTAATTTGAGGTTTACATACGTTGTGTATTTTCAGACTATCTTGAATAAATGGTTCGTTGATCAACATGTATGCAGCTCATTTAAACCACTTGATGTTATATTGATGAGTCCAAACACGCTCCTCTATTTTAGATTTGCTGGTTTTCCTTTCTTGCTGTTTCTCTTGTGCTCGTCAAAGCGGACTTTCAAAGACCTCATGATTTGACTGTTCATATACTTGGACCAATCTTATTTTTGTTTCATCAGTTTTTAAACAAACTATTCTGCTAAAGATCCTTCCTAATGTGGCCTAGTTTCTTGTATAGATGTTCCTTCGTTTGGATTGTATGATCAATTAGGTTCGTAATGATTCTTCTCTTGATGAATTGGTGATAGTTAGATTCGTGATTCTTCTTCTTGTGGGCCTCTTCAATGTATATGTTTCAAATCACTTCATGTATTGTATGTTGACTCTAACCGGCAAAAGGATCAATCTCATCAATATATTTTTTCATTATTTTTGTCCTTCCATACATTTTGGATTTGTTAACACCACTCCAAACAATAGAAGTTCAAACTTGTAACATTAACCTTCTTGCCGTCTTCAATCTGTTTCGTCTCCTGAAGACGTCAACAATATGGCCTAGGTAATATGTTGCATACAATATGCAACATATAAAGACAGAATTTCACTAGTTCGGACTTCCATTGTCTACTATATAAAATGATTTGAAATCCCTGAAACAACTAAAAAAGAAGAATTGAAAATGAATAGCTGAAAATAACAATTATATTAAGCAACAATAAACCTGAAATGAAATGATAGTGAAATAACCTACAAGTAAAAATATAATAATTGAATAAATAAAAATTAAAGGAATGNCCCCCACCCAAGCATTGTTCCGTGGTGCTGAAGCTGGAGTTAATTTGAGACGTATGGCGTATCTTCTGAGCTGAAATTCATTCAGCTTTTCTTGGTAGACTATGCAGTCTACACTGTTTGCTGAGTAGGGACCTGTGCAGTTGACGCACTTTGCTGGTTCTTTTGGCTTTGTGCACTCATATGTAGAATACTCTTCCGCACATTTGAAGCACTGAAACTTTCTATCACAATTTGCCGTCGCATGTCCCCAAAGCTGGCAGCTGTGGCATTATGAAATTTGCTTCGTATTGTTCTCTCGATTCCCATTCTACCCGCATAAATTAAATAATTCATATGACTGAAGGTGAATTCTTGATTCGAATCAACAAGGTATAACGGACTTCCTCTTGATCTCATCTTGTAGATGTTCTCCACCTTTATATTGTGTCTTTCTTCCAGGTCATCAGCGATGTCATCTACTGGAAGTTGTGAATCTAGTCTCCTCAGAACAAAAGCAAGTGTCTTGTCTTCATGCAGCGTATTTGTGTGGTATTTAGCATTACTATTTTTGTTGAGGGTGTTACTTATGGTGTGATGGTCTTCTTTGCTTTTCGTATACAGGAGTGTTGCACGCTCTGTATATTCAAGCTCAAGGTCTGCTTGCTTCCATATTTTTCAAGTATTCTTTGCTCAAGGTAACGTTCATTCAATGAATATTGGAGATAACGTTTGTTCTTGTTATGTCTTGGTTTGTGTGTTTTAGATTTTATCACGATTTATCCTTATTATCGTAGATTCTTCGGTGAGTGGTAGCTCAGTGGGTTTAGCACTTTCTCAGAGCTTGGTGCTAACAGGTTTGTTGCAATTTGGAATGAAAGCTACAGCTGATGTCGTCCAACAATTAACAAGTGTCGAAAGAGTTCTACAGTATTCAAGACTGGATTGCGAAGGTCCATTTGAAACGCCTCAAGGTGAGTCAGATTACATTTTGAAACCGATTATATTAAAAAAATGAGATATGATGATAATTACACAATTTCCACAAACGCTACTATGTTAGTGAAACGTGTCTTTGTGAAAATTGAGTAATTATTATCATGGATAGTGTTATACTTTACATCAAGTAACGGGTCAGTTCATTCATGATAGATTATGAGTTTTTCTCTGACCTTAGAAAAAAACTCATGATTTTGTTTTGCCATGAAATCCACAATCTGTTCTGCAACGATAAAAGTGAAATTATCTTAATAAACAATTCGTTCGGGCCAGTCCTAAATTACCTACAATGTAGGGAAATGGACTGACACCTAATAGAGACAACTACTCTCCTGGCTAATACCACGAAGGGCGTTGAATTATATCCGACAGGTGCCAGTGCAGGATTCTTCGCTGAAGTTATTCCTGTATATGCTGTTGACGATACAACTGCCGTAATCGATTTTCAATTATTTGTCTATTATCAACATAAAGTCGATGATTTCCGATAATTGAAAATCAAATTTCTTCAGAGTATCATTTTTCGAACTAGGCTGAAGTAAACGACAAACAACATATTCGCCCTTTCCCCATTTACCTGTGAACAAGGTAACCAACCGCTTATACGAAATTTGTCCAATTCGTCGGATGAGGAAGAAAGTTTCACAAATTGAATGGGCATACTTGAAGAGTGGCTATACATGGAATTATCTGAAAAAACAATTCATTCAGGCCAATCTCAAATTACCTACACTGAAAGTTAATGGACTGACACCTATCAGAAAATAACTACTCCTCTAACTAATACCACGAAGGGCGTTGGATTATATTCGACTGGTATCAGTGCAGAATTTTTCGCAGAAGTTATTCCGGCATATGCTGTTTGCGAAACGCCCTCAGTGGTATTAGTCAGGGGAGTATTTGTTTTCTG